TATCAATTCATGTGAATACGACTGAAAATTTTCATTTTTTTCTGAAAAGGTGGTGTCTATTTACTTGTGACCACGCTGTGTAGATGCACCAGCCTGAATAATGTAAGAGATAAATTTATAATGTGACTTACATACCGCAGTAATGCATGATATATTGGTTAAAATTAAGAATATCTTAATCATCAGATACTTCAGTCCAAGATATGTTAAAATTAAATCACGTGAGTCACATGATTCTTGAAATAAGATGTACGACAAAGCTCTGATGAAAAAGGATAAATAACATGATACATTAGATAACAGAGAAAAGTACATCTTGAAAATAACAAGGTGCATTAGCTAAAGCAGTACTGAAACAAGACATATCACAGGATACATCAGATAACAGAGTAAAGTACATCTTGAAAATAACAAGGTGCATTAGCTAAAGCAGTATTAAAACAAGACATATCACAGGATACATCAGATAACAGAGCAAAGTACACATTTACAATAACAAGATGTATCAGCCAAAAAAACTAAAATAAGGCATATCACAGAATACATCAGTTTGTTTGTTTGAAATTAAGCACAAAGCTACACAATGGGCAATCTGTGCTTTGCCCTCCACGGGTATCGAAAACCGGTTTCTAGCGTTGTAAGTCCGCAGACATACCGCTGTGCTACTGGGGGGCATGATGCATCAGATAACAGAGCAAAGACTATTCATGAAACGATCAGTAATGAGTAACGTACTTAGAGAAATGGAAGAAAACCTGCTTTTTTTCACCGAAGTGCTGAAACTGACAAAGAAAACAGAACCTACTATCAAAGAGATAACAACAAGTGTATGTAATCTGTGTGTTTACCATCTTTAAATAGTTAATAATTATCATAGTTGAAAAGCTTCAAATTTTACGTACCTTAGAAAATCCAAAGTGAGGGATGTGGGGATCGGCCAACAGGTCATGTTTACGAAATACTGAAATAAAACAATTTTGCTATTAATATTCAAATTACTAATGTATAAAATATTTTAAATAACATAAAGTTTTATTTTCTAGTCTTGACACTGTTTCCAGAGCTGATTAGGTGCTTTAAATTATTGTAAGGCTGCATATGAAGTTTCACATTTCTTGAATTTAAGGCAATCAATACTGTTATTATTTGTTTACTTTATAAAATGTATAGTCCACCTGTTGGAGTGCGGTAAGTCTACAGGTTTACAACGCTAAAATCATTGGTTCAAATCCCCTCGATGACACAGCAGACAGCTTTGCTATTAAAAACACACACACACATATAAAATGTATATATATATTGGAATGTTTCATACATCCAGATACCGCCCATCGCCCTCTCAAGGTCATATACTTTTTTAATGATGTCACTAGATCATTGATTGGTTGTTTATTTCTAAATCATTACAGTGGATTTATATTTGCTTATCCTTTTTTTGCTATTTAATTTCACCTCAAAACCACAGCCAACTGTACTTAAGAAAGGGCTCCCTCAGGTAACGTCGTGTTATGTTGCAAGTTCTCAAAGCGCTTCTATGGTGAGGCAAAAGCACTCAAAATTTGCTTTTGCATTATCCACTTTTTAAAATTTTACCTAATGGTTAGCACGCTAGGCTGCATACGTGAAAGTTCAAGGTTCGCACTAGATGGCACTGATCATACTCTGCACTTTCAGCTGTAGGTGCATTTATAGCAGTGACAAGAAATCATGATATTCCATTTTGTTGCCGTCTCTCTGGTTATTATTTCAAAATAAGAAACAGTGATACCTGAACCAGAGGGTTCTTTAACCCGGCCATTTAGCCTATGTGTGCATAAGGTGACGTTCAAGTTGAAAATACAATACTAAAACTTTGTGTGTTTTTTGGATTACGTGACTGACATTTCATGACTTTGTTGGTACTATATTTTAGTTTTTCTAGTGTATGTTTCATATTTTTAAAAATATCATTTGAAAAATATATTATACAGTTTTGTGTAATTAATCATTAGCAATAAATATGATTCCAAATTAATTTTTGATATAGCTTTCCAGATATTATTTTACAATGTACTATCGAAAGTATTCGGTTTCGCTCGGGTTATTAGATTAATAGTGTGCATTCTGAGCCCATTTTAGCATAAAAGTATAACCTATATACTTTGTTGTTAAGCAACATGACATATACATAAAAGCCATTGTTGGTATGCATTATTACCAAAATGTACTGGTTTTTCTAGATATTAGAAGTTGTTATATAAGGAACCACTTCTTTTCTATGTGGTTTTTCGCTAGCTTGCCTCATTAAAAAGATGCGCACAAGCACGTGGATAAGTAATAATACACAGGTGCACACCCTAAGGGTCTACTTAGTATTAGTGCAAAATTTCCGGTCTCTCTGTGATTTCTATTCATAATATAAGGAGCCACTTCTTTTATATGTGGTTCTTCGCTAGCTTGCCTTATTAAAAAGATGCGCACGCGTATGCGCGCAAGCACTTGGGTAATTAATAATATCTAGGTGCATACCTTCAGGATACACTTAGTATGGATGCAAAATTTCAGGTTTCTATGTTCTTTCCTCTTAGAGATATGGTGGTCCCACACACAGACACACAGAAACGCACTTTTATTATTATTATTATTATATATATATATATATATATATATATATCACATGGTAGTGTCATTGAATGGGATTACACCACATCTAGACTAATACAATGCAATCACAAATATTACCTCATACTTGAGTTGAAGTAGATAATGAAATTATCAAAGGCTTGTTGCGTCATGACAGGTTCAAAAGTTATTTTTGAATAATTGCAGATAAAGAGCGGCAGAATACTTAATCATAACTTGCATTAGTGATCATTACTATTTAGTTTCATACGGTCTAAGAAAAGGAAAAAAAAAGTAGTATTGTTGTAGAGTATAATGTACCATTAGGCAGCTAATGATGGAAGATAAGAAACCTCATATCGTTTTGGATTATATTATATTTCAAAACAAGACCTTTATACAATTGACTAAATGGTAAGCCCATATTTGACAAAAGAACAACAACAAAAATACGGATCAATGGACAGTTGTTGTTGTGGGATTGGGCGTGGCCTAATGGGTAATGTGCTCTGGCTATGAATCCAAGGGTTCATAGTTAACGACCCGTTGCCACAATAAACGCGCTCCGTACTTTGGGCCCACGGATACACTAAAGAATTGGCGATCAAGACTCACTATTCGATTAGAGCAGCCCAAGAGTTGTTGGTGGATAGTTTTTCACTAGCTGTCTTCTTTCTATTTTACCAGTTCGAAACAGAAACGGCTTTGCGCAGATAGATCTTTGTGTGGTTTTGCGCAAAAATTCTAAGCAAACAAACAAACTGCTTTTGCATTAAATAATATGTGAGAACTTACAAAATCACCCGAATAATAATAATAAAAGAACAAAAGGCGTTATTTTCTAATATAATTGGCTATCATCTATGTAGTTTGGAGCTTTAATTGAGGTTTACGAATTCTTCATCAATTATCTTTCGTAAGTAAGATATACCGTATTATTTATTTATTGTTACTTTCATTGATAGTATAGGTTAAAATGCTTATTATATCTAATTTCATTATTTTTTATTTCAATTTTTATTATCATACTCTTATTATAGATTGTTTCGCATTGTTATCTTGGAACTAACCTAAATCTCCTAAGATGGCTAACCTTGTGAAATCGTATTGGGTTTACGGCCGAAAATATCGTTAAGAGGGAGGGTACCCAAGTGATGAAATAATGCATTCTATTCGTAATTAGTAAGCAAAGTATATCTAATTTTTGTTTTTAAGAGTGTAATAACACATTTTTTCCTGTAGATTGAATAACTTCATAATATTTTATACAGTTAGTTTTAACTATTAGGGTCAGATACAAAGCTACTGGTATATAATGAATGAGAGCTGAAATTAATGGTAATTCTAGAGTAAACATGCTGTAATACTAGTAGTAATACTAAAAATAATGTAGGAACAATATTATCTTTAATTATATGCCATCAATCTTGCCAAATTTCTTCTTGTTCATCCAGTACCATATGTAGCGTTTCTCTGTAGAGTTTACTTTTAACAGAAGCTTACTGAGAAAAATTCCAAAGGCAAGTCTATGATTTCTGAAAGTTTTTATTATTGTCTTAAACTTATATTTCTAATAAGTTTATTTACAAGTATAATATTACAGTAATTTGTTAGCGTAGCTCTGTTTTGTTTCAACAGTAAGTACTTTGGAATGGCATGAAAATATTTTTCTCTGTCCTTTAGTTTCATGCAGGAAGCCTTTTCCCTAAGATGTGACAAACGTCTAGTATTTTACAATAGAAATGTCAATATTTCGGTATTGAAAATAATGCAAATTACATATCAGGTAAAAAACGTTTGAAAAAAGATACAATTATTATTCAGTGTTGGCCATTTTTATTTTAATGGAAAATGTACAACTATTTTTGTAGATTTCGTAAAAACTTTACACATTAGGTGTTGATCTCCAAATATTCAATTTATTCTTCAGTTACAAATAAGCTCAGAAACTCATTTATAGTACATACTCTGTCGTAGAACAACATTGCTGTAAGTTATTCTTTCATTAGGAGGGTTCTTTTAAATTATTTGGTGAAAAGAAGACCAAGTCAAATCCACGTAACGATAACAAATTATCTTATTTCTTCCTTAACGTATGCTACAGGCTACTATCACTTACACACAGTTGTAGGCCCTAGTTCACAAATAACATTTTCACTTTCAACAGGAATTTACTCTTTAATGATATTACGATTAACCTACAAATAAATTTACCTATACAGTTTCACGGTTAAATCGATCGAGTAACTGCATATACGCAATAACTAACACTGCTCTGAATATTTCACTAACTTCTCAACCACTAAATGAACTAAATGCTAAAATTGACACAATATTTAACTGATTCTAGTGTTTATAATGTATCCTTGTTTTTTGATATTTCGTAAAATCTCACGATCATTAACATTTTAAGACTACCTTTATGAACTTACCTGGTCTTAACGTCATATACGACCTCTAGCGAACATCTAAGTTAAGATAATGAAAATATAGCTTACAGCAATATGGTAAGAAAAAAAATTCATTATTCTCAATGAGAATGCTTCTGCGAAGTTAGTTATTCGATCACTCTCAATTATATTGTTGCATTACAACATTGCTAACTACAGCTGAAATGTTTGTTGTTATTTGCATTTCGTTTATGAGAATGTTTATCTTCGTAACTCATTCGTTGAGTCTTCACCCTCAAACACACAACTGTAGCAAATACACTATAGCTGTTTAAAAATGTTTCTTGTAAAGTGTCTGATGAATGAGTTATTGTCGGATAAGCTGCAGTTCAGTAGACAATAGGCTAATGTTTGTTTTAGTAGACTCCAGAGAAGAAATAAAATTACTTTTTTTTGCCAACATGGTACGATGTGTACTTCATGTCAATGTACTGCACTATCACGAAAAAACTTGTTTTAGAATTAGCACAAAATATCTATTGTCTGTAAAGTAAAGCAAGCTTAATAACAGTTTAGATTTTTTTTAGAAAGTTGGTTAACTTGTAATTTAATAAGTTTTCTACAAAAATGTCAATCAAGCATACAAATAATAAAAATGAATTGCAGTTTTAATGATGATTTTTATCTGCATCGAACAGCCTGTTGGTATATACGTCGACCACACCACTTCTTATTTTAATATATGATTAAGTAAAGCTTATAGGAATACATGGAAATCAGGAGACTTCTTTGATTCTAACAGTTCTGTATGACGAATATCAGATCACATGTAAAGCGTGATAATGTTATGTACTGAATGGAAAATTTAGTTGGCGTTAGATACATCTCCAAAACCTGAACATTTTAATCTTCAAGTGTTCCAATACCAGTTGTGGTTTAGGCCAGTGCTGCTCAAACGTTTCATGTTCGC